TGTAAAATAATTTTAAATAAAAATTCCATGCCAATTGTGCGGCTCATCAATCAATCAGCCATTGCGTCTCATGTCTTACTTTGAAAAACTGCGATAGAGCGAGTCCGTGAAAAACGAACCATGAAGTAGTGAGGGACCACTGTAGAGAGCAATGGGTTTGATCCACCAGAAAAGACAATCAGAGAAGGAATTTTGTTTTTTGTACATAAAATCTGACAGCATGCACCTTTTCCACAGCAAATGACTAGGGGTGTAACTCACCAGCTTTACCACGATACGATATTATATTGATTTGTTTGTATGACGATACAATTTTTCTCGACATCACAAAGTCCGTCACGATACAATTTCGATTCTATTAAATTCACAAGTCTACAATCGATATATTGCGATATCAAATGCCCATCTCATTTACATATTAATAAATTTACAAAAACAAAATATGATTCAACCATTTTATTTCTGGTATTACAGGCACCAGGCATTTAAATTTAAAAAAAAAAAAATTTTTCCTAATTAATGAAAACATTTTTTTAAAAGATGACCTATTCAGTATAGTCTCACATTTCTCATGTTTAAGTGCATTTTTTAAACCAGTTAACTTAAAAGTTCCCTGATTACCTTTCCGTTATAAAGAAACAAAAATAGATATTGAGCTTAACAAGGTAGGGCTGGGCGACATGAACCAAAATTAATATCTCGATATTTTAAGAAAAATGGCGACAAACAATATATATATCGATATTTTTTTATTTCCATAAAATAATAACCTTCTGAGTCAAAACTTTGTCCCAGTTGTCACACAGGCACATTTATTAAAAGCTATAACTGTACAAAATAAATATCTAAAATATAAACTGTTTACATTAAACAACAAAGTCCATGCTCAATAATCCAATTCAATCCAATCAATAATAGCAAATATTTACATTAAAGTTTGTTTTTAGACCTTTTTTTTTTTTACATATATTAAATAATAATCCTCCCCAGCTGCACCGCCTTCACTATGTTAGTAAGTGTGTAAACTGCAGCAATGAGTCTGCTTGTGAGGGGAGGCTGCATGAAGTTGGCTGTGCAGACGGCCAGAAAAAGAACTACTGTTCACAGACTTTTAAGTCTTACAGTGAGAGGAGGCATCGGCAGATTAATAAAACAGCGTCTTATCATATCACTACAGATACAGTCCTTAGTGGCCAACAGCCGTCTTGTTAGCCACTAAGGATCGCATCTTTAGCGATATGATAAGACGCTGTTTTATTCACGTCACCTCTAATAAGGCCCAGCACAGGTAAAAGTTTCGTACTGTAGTTTGTCTCAGGGAAGGAACTTCACAGCCGGTCTAAGACTGGAGCTCCAGCACCAAGTTTAACACACGCTTCATACTCCGCTGCTTTAAACGGTGAAAAAGGTTTGTTGTGCTCGAACATTTTCGTCAGGACTTATTTTCCAAGCTCATAAAGAAGGCTGGCTCAGTTCTGGGGACTCCTCTAGAACCTTTGGAGATGATTGTACAAAGAAGGATTCTTCATAAAATGAAGAACATTATAGACAACCCTCAGCATCCTCTTCATCAGACTGTCATACAACAACAGAGTGTCTTCAGTCAGAGGCTTCTTCACATCTGCTGTGAGACAGACGCTACAAGAGATCCTTCCTGCCCACAGCCATCAGCATCTAGAACAACTCATTAATGAAACCAGGATGATGAGTTACCACAACATAGAATTTCCTTCTGGGATTAATAAAGTGTCTTTGAATTTGAATTGAATTGAATTTTTGTCATTTTTCTGTTGCACATCTGACAAATTAAATTCAAACCATCTCCAAATAACAGAGCCATTTTTTTCCCCTGCTCACCAGTTCTGCGACTCATTCACTCTCTATTTATTTATTTTATTTTTTGTGGCTGCTACGTGCTGCAGACAGCCGCTCCACCTGAAGAGAAGCAGGAAGCAGGGGGAGAGCGCACGGGTGGGTCTGAGTTTGGAGTGAGTGCGAGGAGGGGGGCCATGTGGGAGAAGAAAGAAGACAGCAGAGCCGGCGGATTTTCAAGTAGAACTATATTGTTTATATCGAAATAATGTCAATTTATATCGCAAATAAAATTATATCGATATTTTAAAATATCGAGATATCGCCCAGCCCTATAACATGGCTATCAATGCCGTGTTTCTTCTTCAGGTGAACGGACAAATTTATTGTTTCCCGAGTATTTGAACTCACACTGGCACCTGTTGCATACGACGTGACTTGTGTCTGTTGAGCCGTCCTTCTGTCAGAATCCAAAATATTTCCACAGTGTTGATTTAAATCCAGCAGGAGAGTGAATTTCATTATCTGTGTTTTCTGCCTGGTCTGCCATGTTGCTGAGGCGGCCGCAGAGCGCAGCCGTGCACGGAAATGGTGACACACACGTGCCTTGGGAATTTCAAAATAAAAGCGTATTTTAAAGATGACAATATGAATCAATGTTTTAGTTTTGCCACGATATAATTGAATCGTTAATCATTTAATCGATATATCGATTTAGATTTGATGTATTGTTACACCCCTACAAATGACTTGACTCATCTACCAGGACAACTGGGACCAATTCCTTTCATTTCCCAGAACAGAAATATACTAAGTGAAGAACCTACTGGAAAGCGTTTGGTGGTATGTGCTTCTGCTTGTATCTCCCCGTTTCCTGTTCCAGTACAAAGCCATGAGTAGCTGAAAGCTGAACACAACTAACAGTTTGTGCCTCTGACTTCTCCATTCTACATTTCAGCAAGGTTGTGTGGTAGAACGTGACCAGAGTAAAATGTTTGGTAAATTTATTTTTTTTATGCTTCGATTAACAGAAGTGAACTGTGACTGAACAGTTCTGTTCACTGTCTGAAACAAGCTGAAGTGCTGTGTTTACAGCCCAGACCAGTTCAAAACACTTTTAATGGGGTTTACTTTCAAATACGAGTCATTTACATTGCTCTTGGTTTATCTTCTGCCATCATACACAAGTGCAGATACTCAGTAAAGCTTAAAGTATGTCCAAATATGTAAATAAATAATATTAGACAACACAGTGAAACAAGAAAACCTGAACATTTGAGCTCTTGTTGCTACAATCACTGAACTTCTGGCCATGTAGCATGTATAAATATGGACATGAGCTCACTCTGTGCTTACCTGTCCACTGGTACAGCTTTTTCTGCCTCTCTGGTCACCTTTGCAGGCAGAGGATCTTGGTTGAGTCCAGCTGACAACATTATACAGAGAATTACTTTATAAAAAAGTAGTAGCAAACTTTTTTTTTCCCTAAAACAATCATATTGAAAACACGATACAAAAATGTAACTAAGACTTTAAAAAGTCAGTTCACCTGTTTCTACATGTCCCAACTGTTGATGGTCTCGCTTTAACCTAGGTGGGGAGGGCCTACGTGTGGGGGGCATCTGCTGGACGAGAAACAGGCAAATGATCAAACCTGAAGACCTAAAACATCAGTTCACTCATTTTGTTTCTGGGTAGATGTAGTGAGGCATCGTGTGAATGTTTATGAAGCATTCACACACTTGTGATCCATTTTTCTTCCGAACATTTTTCAGCATCTTTCATGTTCTACAGTTTTTATGCTATTTCAACAAATCATATAACGGTATCAAAATGTTCAGCTCTTTCGGGACAATCCTGCTGTGACTTTTGGTATTGGTGCAACTTTAGCTTTTTGAAATATTTAGCCTTTTCTGCCAGTTTTTTCCTCATAAAAAATGAATTGAGCTCATTTTACATCCTTCAATTCTTTAGATCTGTTAACAGCCTTTTACTGCTCCTTTCACATTTTGTTCTGGTTCAGCTTCTTTCAGCTTCCTTGTGCATATTTAAACATTTTCAACTAATTTCAGCTGTTTTTTCAGCAGTTTTGTGCTCCTTTTAGATTCTTTCTGCTAACTAAAACATTTGTGTGCTTCTTCTAACTTCTGCTAATTTCAGCTTATTATGCTCTTTTAAGCCTATTTATGCAAGTTTTAGCTTTTTCTGCTGATTCAGCTACTATTTAGCTGTTTTTATGCTGATTTGAGCTTTTTTTTTTTAATTTGTTTCAATTTTTTCAGCCTAATTCAGCAAAAATGTGCTCTCTCCACTTCTGTCTGGTAATTTAAGCTTCTTTCTGATATTTTAGCTAATTTGCAGACAGTTGTATTTTTTTTTTCCAATTCAATTTTTTTTGCCAAGTTCAGCTTCTTTTTTTCAGATAATTTCCAATTTTTTGTACTCATTTCTGCTTCTTTCAGCCTAATTGGACAAACGTGTTATTTCCGCTTTCTTCTGCTAAGTTAAGCTTTTTCTACCTTTTAAGCATTTTCAGCTAATTTCAGCAGTTTTCAGATGAACTCAAGTTTTTTGTCGCAATTTCTGCTACTTTCTGCTTAATTAACTTCTTTATGCTCATTTCAGTTTGTTATGCTCTTTTTAGCTTTTTTTCTACTAGTATCAGCTCTTTCTGCTATTTCAGCTACTTTTTAGCTGGTTTTATGTTAATTTGAGCTTTTTGCAATTTCTCTAGTTATCTTTCCTGTAATTATGACAAGACTGAGGAGCTGATGGCTGGTCCAAACACAGCTTAGACCAAAGAAAATTGCTTATGTCTTGAAACAAGTCAAATATTCAAAATGACATAGCAGTTCATGCTTATACTATTACTTAAAGAAATATTTTGTCAGACATGAACCTTAGATTCCCCTGAAGTGCTATACCTTGCTGCTGGTGCTACTTATGCTTCTAAATAAACACAAAATTGCATGTTATCCGAGAAATGCAGAATTGAGAATTACATGAAATTTAAAATAGTGTTGGCCTTAACAGCTAGGAAATTTTGAAGAATGGAGGCATTTTAAAATTAAGCAATTAGAAAAACGCATCGACTGATTGCAAGTACTGGACTGGAATAATAATCAAAGCATTTTTTTAATTAATCCGTATGGATTAAGCTGCCACACTCCATTACTAATCTGCTGTTGACTGCCAGCAAGAATCGACGTGTCCTTTGGAGCTGCTGGAGCCATGATCTTAGCGCACCTGAGTTGTATAAAAGCGTTTGCCACAACCTGTTTTTGTTGTTGTTGTTGATAATAAAAACTGTGTTCATGTGGTGCCTTTTGTTTGTTTGTCTTAAATACAACAGGCAGGTTTAAAGTTCACCTGATATAATTTTGAAAACCTTAACGTAATTATAGTTTGTAACCTGCAAGTCTGATCTGTAGAAAAATGAAAAGTCATGCAAGTATATGATTGAGACTTGGTACTGGTTGATATATATTTTTAAGTGAATCCTGATTAGAAAATCTCTAGGAGCACTCCACTTTGGTTTTAAATGTGTTCAGACTAGCTGTTAGCTTCTCAGTCCAGCCAAGGTTGAGACATCTGCAATAGGTAAAATATTAATTATTTAGAACTTCAGCACAGAAGCTTGTGTCATAATGGCTGAATTATTTATTTAATGCAAGCGAACTACCCAGAAAATACAACGCTATCAACTGTTCTTGAAGCTACCTCTCTCCTGTACTCGGGCAGTGTTGTTCTCTCCTCTCCGTTAGTCCTTCGGCCTCTGTAAGGTTGGTCAGAGGAGCCGTGAGGAACCCTGTCAGGACTGCAAACCCTCTTCTCCTTTGGCCCACCCTTCAATCCATAACCTGGACGGTCAAGTGTTTTCCTTTCTGGGCTGTAAGCATGAATTTCACGCAGGCTGCGCCTGGGACTGAGACCTCGGTTCTCTGTGGGTCTTGTGGGAAAATTATGTTTGTCAACAAGTTGTCTCCCTGGTTCAGCGTGGTGAGATTCCCAGGGGCTGCTCTGACGGCAGCGTCTGTCTGGAGACAACCGCTGACATTCAACGCTTTTATCCTGAATATTTGGAGAGGGCTTGTGGTGTTGAGTCTTTGGCTTCTCCGATTCAGAATCAGACGACAGAGGGCTGCAAGGATCGTACAGTTGAGGCCTACAGGTAAAGAGAGAAGTCTGACAATTAAAACATCACAGATAACTTGCAACAAAATGCTTCCACTAAAAATTACCACTACAAGTTCAGCCATTCCTAAAAGTCCCAGCACAGTCAAAACGGTGGTACCAAATGCTGTGCACATCTTATGAAATATGTACTTTTCAAGCAGTCAATGAGACACTAACTCTGTCCTGCCACAAGGGCAACAACAGGCAAGCAATGTTTCAGTGTTTAAGATCAGCCTCTTCTAAGGTTGTGTGACAAAAGGACTAAGAAAAAAAAGTTGGTATCTCACCTCTCTTCACTGCCTTTGGCTTTAACCTCAGAGTTACCTTCTTTTTTGTCAACTGACTGGAATGAAGATCTCCATAAACTAGTAGGGGGCGGCCGCTCTAGAGTGTACAAAACAAAAAACATTTTAGACAATATTATTTGAATCTTTGATTCACTCCTGATTTTTCTACGATTGCTTTAGTGACGGCACCCAAACTAGCGGTACGCCGATGTTCCCTGTTGCTGAGGGATTCGAGTAATTAATGTTTTTAGGTTTAAAGATGAGTTTTTCTGGACTGGGATTGAATGCAAGTAAACCTAAATGTTTTTGGTACAAGATATTCCAGTGGGTAGGAGTTAATCTGTGTGTAAAAACACTATTTTTTGTTATTGTTGTTTTTGTTTGTTCGAGCCAGTGTAGTGACAGATCTTGGCGAGTGGATGGAGCAATTTTATCTACAGCCAGGCGCATTGGCAGAGTCAAGGGTGACCATTGATTTAATCTTCAGCCACCCCAAGGTCCACCTGGGTAATTTAAGGAAACTACATTTAAACAATATAAAAACTAGAAAGTATAGTTTCCTCAAATGATTGGGGTGGCCAGTTTACATACACATGTGACAGAGGCTAACTTGGATTTTGACGTGGCAACCAAATAATTGATAGAGACCTTTCTTATGCCTAGTTGTAAATACATACTAAAATGGAAGTTGGCACGTTGCTTATTTTTCAAATTATCCAGCTCATAAGGTCAACATATATGCATATATGGTGGCAGCCATCTTGGATTTTGACCAGGCAACCCAATTTTGAAAAGAACCTTTCTTACGCCTATATGAAGCCACACCCAAATGGAAGTTGGCAACTGACTTATTATGCAAGTTATCATCCTCACAGCATGCAGACAGACGGACAGACGGTCTTTCTAATTCCCCCTCTTCACTTTGCGGCAGACAAAAAATACCTTTATGAGAAGTTCTGCAGACAAATGCGCAAGTCTATTTATTACTAAATAATTAATCTGGGAAGGATTAAAGGACAAGAACAACAAAGTCCATGCTCAGTAATCCAGGTATAAAATCCAACATTTTTCAGTCAGGTCATCTGGACAGTTTATTTTTTTGTGCTGAAACGTTTCACGTTCGATCTGGAAGGCTTCATCAGTCAAGGAAACACAACAAAATTGATTCTTCCCCAAACAGCTTACTCCAACAGTGGAACAAACCAGTTTGGTTGGTGTTAAGATGGTCTCTTTGGTACGTAGGTAGGTAGGTATACCTGGATTATTGAGCATGGACTTTGTTGTTTTCAACCAGTTTGACATGACTGTCAACAAGGAAGAAGGCCGGCAATGGAGGAGGGGCGTACCAAAGAGACCATCTTATCACAAGCAGAACTGGTTTGTTCCACTTTGGAGTAAGCTGTTGGAGGAAGAATAAGTTTTGTTGTGTGTTTCCTTGACTGATGAAGCCTTCTGGATTGAAGATGAAACGTTTTAGCACAAAAAAAAAAAAAAGAAACTGTCCAGATGACC